AAAGAAAAAAAAAAAGGAGGAGGGGGGGGGGGGGGGGGGGGGGGAGAGAGAGAGAGAGAAAGAGAGAAAGCTAGCAGCTTACAATGAAAGCGAAACTTGTGCCCAAGGTGTCTACACGTGACAAAAGTTTCAGAACTTGTTTTCTCTGATAATGTAGATTGAAGGAGACTCCACAATGAATCAAAATCAAAAGCTTGCCAGAACCATAGGGAAGAGAAAATAAATCATGCTTCATGCCTTCAGCCACTATGAAAATGAAACAGCGTTACCATTAAACTGCCTCACCTTAGGGAAACTTTGAGCAGGTGTCTTGAATAATAGGAAATTTTAGCCAGTAGCATCCCAATAATCAATAAAGTCATTTTTCTTGGCTTGCAAATACGATAAACTTCCTTGACCCCAGCCTTTCTGCACACGCTTCAGAGTTTTCACGGCTATCCCACTGCCATCATCTCTGGTGAACAGAATATCAACATATCACCAAAACAAAAAGAAATAGGGAAAATGAGGATAACGGATCATGTAACAATTAAAAAAGGACTTACGTAGTCTAAACAGTGTGTTTAACAATTATCGAACAGTTGACCCTAATATAATTTAGGTTCTTTATGGTAAGCTGGCAATTGTTTAATGTTGAAGAGCATACTAACATCGTTAATCCACTTCTAGATGTGTACACTGGAAGAAATTTATAGCAGAAGACAAAATTATATCCTTCCACATACTGAAGTTTAATGACAACACTGAGAAAAAATAGTGTCATCTAATGGCGTGTATGAATTATAACAGCTAAACTTTCTTTTAAAATCAGATCAAAAAAGTAGTCTGAATTCATTTCAGTTCCATACCTCTGCAGAATGGCTTGCCACTCACTTCCACTATATTTATTTTGTTTCCCACTAATTAACTCCCTGTGATGCCGGTTAATCTTATTTCCCATCTCACTTTCGGAAGCCATTGACAGCATCCTCTCTGTTAGTTCATCAACCTCATGCTTATTTCCAATTTGACCTAAACAATCAATCACTGGTATGAATGATGCAGGATCAAACTTCAATCCTTTCTTCATCATTTTCTTGATGATTTCAAGAGCATATTCTATATTTTCTTCCTGACACAGTCTATTTATGAGATCTCCATAATGAAAGCTTCCCAAATCAAAACATTTGTCTAATGCAGATTCAAACAATTGCTTAGCTTCCAAGATCTCCTCTCCGGCAAGCAATTCGTTGAACATTAGACAATAAAGTACTTCTTTGTGGCCATATAAGCTAAGGGCGATTTCAAATGCCTCTTGTGCTGGTCTGAACTCACCAGTCCTGCAGAAAGTTTTTATTAACAATTTAAAGGAATATATGTTGGGTGTTATCCCATTTTGCAACATCTCATCTAAAAGAGAAGTAGCTTCTTCACTTCTTCCTCCTTCACATAGACAGCAAAGAACATTGTTGTAAGTGTAAACATCAGGAGAAACACCTCTTTCTTTCATCTCATTCATTAAGCCAAACATTTCAAATATTTGACTCTTACTTCCCAAACCAAGGATCAGTGAATTATAAGTTTGTAAGGTCTTTTTGCAACCTTTTCTCTCCATGTCTCTAAGAACCTGAAATGCAGATGATATCTTCCCTCTCTTACACAAGTTATGTATAAAAATATCATAAATAATTGAATCAGGACACAAGTTTCTCCTCATCATCTCAACAAACTTCGTTTTAGCTTCATCAAGCCTTCCATCCTTGCATAACCCATTAATAACAGTTGAATAAGTGACTAAGTCAGGTAAGCATTTTTCCCCGTTGTTGTCCACTAGACCAATAAATAAATTTCCCAAGTTGCCAAGAGCAGCACTTCCATGAGTCCACATTTCACTCACAATTTCAACTGCTTTATCAACCTTCCCATTTCTACACAGACCATCAATCACAATATTACAGCTCACAGGATCCAATCCGTTCCCTGTTTCATTCATCTTTTGCAGTAACATCTCTGCTTCGGCTATTTTACCTTCTCTCCACATACTGTGCAGCAGTATATTGCAAGTGTAAGTGTTGGGAAAATATCCAGCCCTTTTCATATCATGTAGAACATTATTGGCATCAATTACCTTTCCTTTTCTGCAATACCCATGAAGCAGAGTGCTATAAGTGACTGTATCAGGGGAAACTGCGCTCGTGATCATCAAACCTATAACTGCTCTGGCATCAGCAAGCATATCATTCTTGCATAGCCCATCAATCAGAGTATTGAATGAGTATAAGTTCGGCTCCACACCATGGTCCATCATCTCTTTAAGGACTGATTGAGCATCCAAAAGCTTCCCATTCTTCACGAAACCCAACAGCAATATGTTATAGCTCTCCACATTTGGAAAAAGACCATCTCTTTCCATAGACTCAAATAAAGTCTTTGCTTCATCCAACATCCCCTGCCTGCAAAAACCCTCCAACATCAATTTATATGTCACTTCATTAGGCTTCGGCAATCCTAACTCATCAATTTGCATATCCCTAAATATTCTCGAGGCTTCTAAAATCTTTCCAGTGTCACAAAGAGCAGAAATCCTAATGTTAAACGTGACAACATTTGGAGTAAGGCCATCCTCCTTGATTCTTTCCACTAATCTCTCAGCTTCATCATTCTCTCCCTCCTTACAGAAACTCGCGATCAATGTGTTATACACCACCATATTAGGAGAAACACCCATTTTCTTCATCAAATGCAAAAGCTCCAATCCTTTAGAATAAAGTCGATGTCTGCAATACCCACGAATCAAAATCCCAAAACTAAACTCATTAGGTTCACAACCTTTGTCTCGCATTTTATCAAACAGTTTCTGGGCATCATCTAACCTACCCGAATCACACAGCCCACTGATCAAAAGATTGAAACTGTAAGTTTCCAGCTTCACTGACGAAAAAATCATGTCTTTATATAACCAGGACATATAATCTGAATAATTTTGTTTAAGAGAACTTTGAATAAGAAGATTGTACAGGGATATGGAAGGTGGGTCATTCCGGAAATGCGTGCGAATAGATTGAAAATTTGACAAGGCCTTGTCAATGTAACCGGACTTTGCCAACATTTTGACAATGCAATATAAAGAATTATGTGGGGTTTTTGGGGGTTGAGAGACGAGGAGATGATTGTGCAGTGTGTCAATTTCTGTAAACATGTGGGCGCGAATAAGAATGCGTGTTATGAGAGGGAGAGAATATTGGAAGGAGTGGAGATCATCATGATCATCATCATTTATCAATACATTATTATAGTTGTTACAGAGAGTACGCTTGAAGAGCTGCCATGCGAGTGTGGGGTTATTTGAGTTCTTGACCAGAGCTTTTGCCAGTGTTTTTGCTCGGTCCATTGTGAATGGATTTTGATTTGAAAGGTTGTTATGGGATTCGCGGGAAAGGTGGTGAATTATGATCAAAGATCTGAGAATGTGGTAATTATGGGGTTCAGGTGAGTAGCGACCATTTTTCTCAGGGGCTGCAGCGGCAGCGGTCTTCGGGTCTGCAAATAGAATTGTATGAATTGGTTTATTCCTCTCTGGTGATGGTTAGGGATTGCAGCGGTGATGGGATGGCGGCAGGTGGGGTGCCGCAAGTGTGGTGGGAGATCCCAGGGAAAAGGACAAGGCAGAGGAAGATAACCATCTCGACCAATTTTAAGTTTACGGGGGATTTGTTTAAAAAGCCTAGTCAACAATAACATTTGGTAAAATAGGCTATCTCAATACTTTTTGGTTAATTAGTCTTTAGTCTATTTATAATGTGTTAAAAGTCTTAAACACCCTTCATTTGAAATATCTAAAATATTCCATCTGAAACAAAATTTTACCAAATTGCCCAAACTTAAATGCCCATTTTTATTCTGACTTTTCGTATACAATTTAAACCAACAAGTAAAATGGCATACTGCCTTTTAAACGATTGAATGCCGTTTTAACTAATATCATGTTTGTATCACT